ACTTGTAACTATTTTGGATGTTTAAAATCGTTCCTAACGATTTTAAAATTGACGAGAAATATTGGAATTTATCATAAATTTTTGAAATTGACGATAAAACCACAAAAAAAAAATTGTACATGATCCCAAAAAATTTGTACAAAACTCTGAAAAAAGTTGTACAGGATAGTGTGATACCGAAATACAAATTTCAGTACTATAGAATTCTCGTTGTTATAGTGTATAAAATTTTGATTATTATATTCCTTCGGGAAGAGAAATGGATGTCGTTAAAACGGTTGAAATGATAGATTCCACATTTTTAGACATGCCAAAAGTTAATTCTTGCCTCTACAATTATTAAACCACTGACTTCTTGTAATTTTTTAATTTTTTTTCACAACTGAAGCTATTCATAAAAACATTGCCATTGTAACTAGTCACACAAACACGAACATAAGAACACAAAGACTCACACAAAGGCCACACAAAATTTTATAGGAAAAACACTCCCAAACCTTATATTGAAGCTCACAACAATTACAAGGAAACTCAATTCTAACCAAGAACTCTTTGGCTGTATAGAATGTCCCATCACTCCTATTTATACAAGAGATAATACTCATGCCTATTTTCTAGCAAACTTGTTTAGTAACGCTGCATCTTTGTGTACTTGGTAAGCGGTTCTCCTAATTTAGCACCTAAAGTGGAACTGCTCTTATCTACATGCACCTGATCAGATTGTGATTAAGAACACCCACAACTGTCTCCCTTTGACTAGGCCATGCTCAGTAACTGCCCACAACCATCTCCCTTTGACTAAGTTATGCACCATAACTGTCTACACCTGCCTGATCACATATATTGAGTAGTCATGTGCCCACAATTCAGTAGTCTATCCTTACCCACGAACTAGCATGCATGTTGGATCATCCCCATGCCATGCATCAATATTGCCTCAATTGAGTCTATCGCATACTGTCATGCTCAGTTAGGTAGTCTTACAGTGCTACGGTCTCCACAATCTATCGAACCACTTAATCTCATTACCTTACTTCCAACTCATAACATGCTTTGATACAAGGTGCCATCAAGACTTGTCATTCTACACGTAAATCAATTAAGATTTGACACTTCTTTATTACGAGGTGATGCGCGACTTTTGCCATGGCTTCTCTAAACCCAAATGAGTGGTTATGAGATGAGTAACCTCTCATTTGGGTTGAGTAATAATAATTGAACTAAATTGGATGGATATAAGATGGTTGCCAATATTAGTCATATTTTAACATTGGCAATGCAATGTCTTGCTGATCATTTGGAAAACCAATCAATCATTCGATTAATCATTCAGTACACGATTCACCCATTCTTTAGCACAAAATATCATTTAATTTTATACACGCTGCATTTAATCTATGAAGACGTGGATTTAGTTCATAAAACATCATCCACCCATGCTGGTAGATGATCCACTAATGCACAAAGATTCTTACTTAAGTGTACAGTAAATGATCTCTCATCAAGAAAAAGAATAATATTATGTAGACTTAAAAACTAAATTTGATAATTACAACTATTAAATAAGTAGTGGGTCCCAATAAATACCGGGATCCACAGTGAAATCAATAATTGTAACTATCAAGTTTAATTTTTAAGTTCACGAAAATATTGCTCCAAGAAAAATAGACAAAATATGTTGGAGTAAATGTCAGGTCCATTACCATTGAATAGGTAGTGGACCTGACATTTTTAAGTCGATGAAATATTGCTCAAAGAAAATTAGACAAAATATGTTTGGAGAAGTTCAAAGTCCTAAAACACTGGTAAAAGCCTTAAAGGACTTAAAATGGGACTAATGCAAGTATTCTCAAACAGTTAAAAATTTGGTATAATACTTTATGCCTGCGCTTCAATTGGCATACAACAACTTAGGATAAGATTACGTGTGTCGAAAAGTGATTCGAATTCTTCATTTGGATTTGAATGAACTCAAACCATCAATACAAAATTGATAAAATAAGAAAAAAATAACACGAATAAAAAGATACGTTTGGTACTATGACACTCCTCATCAAACAACTTTAAATGAAATTCATGGTAGAATAATGAGTCCCAACTAACACAAACTGTCCTGTGCTGCGGTGCACTGATCAAATGCACAGTGATAAGCGGCTAAAAGTTGAAGACCCACAACCACCACCAGCAAGTTATAATGGTCAAGAGGATGGACCCACGAGGTAAAAGAGTCAAAAAGTGCGCTTCAATGGGTCGCATTTTCTGCATAGTGTCAAGAGAAAAAGTCTTCATAAACTTGAATACTTCAAATCTTTTTCAGTGGAACGTTATCCAAAGTTCCAAACCCTAATTATCTTTGCTCAACAATCGAGGACATTGAAGAAAAATACTACCATGTACAATATTGTAGACCCATAGCCCATATAGGTGATAGGTTGAGGGGAGAGAGAGACAGAGACCAGTATGAGCATGCAGAAAAAGTATCTTCCATATTTTCAAAGATACCCCGTAATCCAAAAAGTACATCAGCAATACTGAACTTTGATTATGTAATATGATTATTTGATCTGATACAGGAATATTAAACATTGGGGTTCTTTATGTAGATTCCTCCTTTTGTGAAAGTATAACAGGTTTAGTATTTTTCGTATTCGTGTAGAAAATTAATTCATAATAATGTTAGTTCCAAAAATTGACAAGTGGTATTATCTTCGACGGATGATTGTTTGGATTAAATTTAAATGCCTTATTTTATGACTTTCTCTCAGATGAATTCTGTTGACGGATTCAAAACAAGAAATAATGACAGAATATTTTTATTAATCTAATCTGCAATTTCTATTGCCAGATAGTGGTGAATCAAACTTAACTACCGTATTAACAACTCCGATCTTAAACTAAACTAAGCACTACTCCTAAATGGTCCAAATTCATGGGTCTTTATCAGGTTTGATCTTGTCCTCTCTTTGCAATTAGTGTCCTTATTTATAGGCACGTTCCATCGACAGTTATGTTTGTCTCTCGGGGTTCCTATCTTCATCACTTCCTCGTTATATAAATGTTGTTTTTTAAGTTTGGAAATTATACTAGTCGATTTTATTCCTTTCATTGATAATTGATGTCCCTAGAATATTAAAGTAATTGACCATATTTCAGAATAACTTTCATCACGTAGTTATCACCTGTTAAATTTGAAAAATCATATCGATTGGTTTTTCTTTTCACGCGTTATTCAGCTGTCTGTCATGTGGCAAAGTTTTTTGTTATTTCGCTTTATGACAGGTGTCATTTACTGTTCATTCATAGAATTATAAAACATGATCCAAACAAAATTTGATAATCATATCAAATTACTTGACACTAACACAATGTTTATTAAATGTGCAACGCTACATATAAAATTACACTATGAAAACGCCATAAAAATAAATTACAAAACTCTCTAACTCTACAATGATTCGAATAATATAAGATAAAAAAATGAATAAATAAGCATATCATGCCACAAATAAGTTACTCGTATTTCACACTAAAAAACTCTTATAATTATGAGTGTGATACTTTTTTCAAAGGTGTTACTAACCAACCATGCATAATTGGATTAAATTCAGGTGATCTTTAGACCATGCAAGTGAGCTAATCACGGACTCAAAGAGAGAGAAAAAGTTAATGGAAAACAAAAGGTTGTTTATCTTTTAATTATGTTATTTTTTTCTGTGTAAGTACATGAATGAACCTTCAACATGGAATGGAGCCTCTATTTTTTCTGGCTCTCTGGGGTCTCAAGAAAGAATCTTGAGTGCAGTGGTGGCGCTGATCCCTATTGGTTAGTGGACCAGTGTGCTTTCCATCAAAGTAGGTCCCTCAAACATGGACCATGTCATGGACCAACAAAGGATAGTGGTTCCAGCCAATCAGGACCATAATTTGTGATAGAAATTCACATAAAAAGAATCAGTTTCAATTGTTAAATCTTTTCGGATTCAGATGCTTTTATTATATCTATAATATAAAATATGACAAAATTTAATAAACATATTTAATGATCTCAAATAGATTTATTCAATTGCTATTAACATTTTTCTCAAAATCATTCATACTAAATTTTGTCTTCCTCTTCTCACTATTCGCTCTCTCTCTAGAATCTTCACTCTCGTACCTTCAGACATAGATTATCTCTATTAGGGATAATTCGTGTCGAAAGACACGATGTAATATGAATAGTTTTGAGAGGAATGTTAGGGTTATTAGATGAATTTATTTGAGACCGTCGAATGGACTTATTAAAATCCTATTTTATATTAAAGATATTTTTATTGATAGATCACCTATTTTGTGTTAGTGAGGGGCCAATTTATATATAACAAATTTCGTTTATATTTAATGTTTGTGATCTACTGAGAAGAAAAAATTATAAAAAAATATATCAGAAGAAATCTCACTTCAATTTTAACAGACGACATTTTATATTCCATGTGAGCAATGTTCTAGAGATTTAATCAAAAACCTAATTCATTGTAGTCACTGAATTAATTATAAATTTTAACGTTAAAACTTACTTTTAATTCAAAAATTATAATTAATTATGTTATCGTATTAAGTCACCAAATCAAGTACAAAATAGCATTTTCCTTTGCTGGTAATTGAAGGAAAAACAACTAATCTTCCATGACCCTTTCTCCTTTCCTCAATTTAGATCCTCTCTAGTACATATTTTTCTCTTTCATATACCAAATACGTGTTTATTGGACTCCACTTAATGCAACGAGTCCCTCTTAAATTCATCATAGTTAGCCTAAAAGAGAAGAAAATGGAAGAGAAGTGATGGACGGAATCTCATTTTCGCCTCCCCAATCTCCTAAGCCTGCCAAGCCAAAGAATATTAATGGATCTCTCTCTCTCTCTCTCTCTCTCCCTGTTTTTTTTTCCCTTTTAACTCTCCCACAGTGAATCCTACGATTCTTTTGCAATGATTATAAATCATGGCACAAACAATGACTAGCAGACACTGTGAGATGGAGATGTGAGATGAACAGTGCTTACTATCTTCTTCACTCACTCACACCTAACCATTTACATCCAAATTACTACATATCATTACAATTATCACAGTTGATCTTCTTCTCAAAACATATGCACCATTTCTAACCCCCTAACTGCACTACACTAACAACAAAGGAAGTACATTGTATCTTGTGAGAGATCAGAAACAACCCCACCCTCATTGTCTACTTCACCAAAAATGCTACACTGGACCTGCATTGTCTTAATCTCTCTCCTCAGCACATTTTCTCCATCTGTTTCAGCAATGCTGAACCTCACTCTTCCTGGGCAACACCCAGACCCTGAAGCTGTTGTTCAAGACGTCCACAGGTAAACCAAAACCATCTGTGTCTTTCTGTTCATCTTGCTCACCCTTCATTTGGCAGTTCACATTTCTTTGGCCAAGCTTTGTACTAAATTGCTCTTCTTTCTTGTAGTTACGACTAGCATTGTTATTATTGCCTTTAAATGCATATAGCAGACCCTTTTCTTTTTAAGTTTTAAGTCTATTTGCAATTTCCACCCTTAATCTTTTCTGCAGATTTATTCTAATTAGCTTCCCCACCCCCAAATATACAATTGTGTGTGTGTTGTTTGCATTCCCCTCTTTTGGTGTCGAATGTTGTTTATATGTGAATGATTTCTTGCTGCAATTTCCCTTTTTGGTCCATTTGTTTTTCATTTCTCTTGCCGTGTGAACCTTTTATTATTTTATAAACAAAATGCTAAATTGACTAATAAAATGAGTTATATCTTAATTTAAAATAAAATCGGGATTAAAAACATCACGGATATCAGCATTAGATCATTTGAATAATTTTTATCCTAATTTTTTTTATCCCATTTAAAGAATACTTAATGCGGATCTACGATATGCAACTGTTTGTCCACCTTTATTCTTCTCTTTCTGTACGAGTGTTCCCCATAAATATTTTGGAGTGTAGGTGGGGTTGTTGAAAGGACTTTAAGTTTTGGTTCTATAGGATGGGATCCTATGCATATTCTTTTTAAGGGGACTGATGAAATACATACATATATGTATACGAGTTGATGTATTTATATTCATGTATGTGTACGGGACTATTCATTTACATATCTTTATGTAATTTCATGCAGGAGAGTAAATGTGTCACTATCAAGAAGACAAATGCTCTCCTACTCCACCTCCGACCAGTCCACCACTTGCCCCACCGGCAACCCCATAGACGATTGCTGGCGGTGCGACTCCAATTGGCAGTTGAACCGTCAACGGCTAGCCGATTGCTCGATAGGGTTTGGCCAATATGCCCTAGGGGGCAAGGGCGGCCGTTACTATGTTGTGACGGACTCGTCGGACCACGATGTAGTCACCCCCACCCCAGGGACTCTCCGCTACGCCGTGATCCAAGACGAACCCTTATGGATTGTCTTCGCAACCAACATGGTCATACACCTATCGGAGGAGCTGATTTTCAACTCCTACAAAACCCTAGACGGCCGCGGAGCTAACGTGCACATAACAGGTGGGGGGTGCATAACGCTCCAATACATTACTAACATCATAATTCACAATATTCACATACACCATTGTTACCAAGCGGGGGAGACTAATATACGGTCGAGTCCATCACACTACGGGTGGCGCACATTATCGGACGGTGATGGGATATCCATTTTTGGAGCTAAGGATATTTGGATTGATCATTGCTCCTTGTCACACTGTAAGGACGGTCTGATTGATGCTGTGATGGGGTCCACAGGGATCACAATTTCAAACAACCACTTTTCACATCATAATGAAGTGATGTTGTTGGGGCATAGTGATGATTATTTGCCAGATTCGGGGATGCAAGTGACAATTGCTTTTAATCATTTTGGTAAAAAACTGATACAGAGAATGCCAAGGTGTAGAAGAGGGTATATACATGTGGTGAACAATGACTATACGAGGTGGGAGATGTATGCAATTGGAGGGAGTGGTAATCCTACCATTAATAGCCAGGGAAATCGATACATTGCTCCCACTGATCGCAATGCCAAGGAGGTACTATTATTTTGCATTTGGTGTTATAAATATGGAAAACATTAGGGGTACATAGTTTAGTATCTACTTGAAAAAATCGAAAAAGTTATAATGTAGGATAAATTACACTTGCACCCCCCTAAATTATCATTTTTTTAACTTTTTCTCCTTGAATATCAGATTTCTCACCTTTCACCCTAAACTGATACTTTGGTTTCACATTGTCCTAATCACAAATGTATATTACCTTTTTAGTGGGGTGGTCTAGAGACATATGACACTAGAGTGCATGCCATGTGATTTTGTCTCTAAACATGCATGGAAAATTTTAATGCCCTTGGTATATGTGTGAGTAAAAAGTTCTTTGTGGGGTCTCATACTACATTGGATCCTCAGTTTTTCTGTAATCTCATTGGATACTGGCTTTGTGGTGTTTGGTGGGTGTTGTGAAATTACAAGGTAACGAAGCGTGTGGAGACAGAAGAGAACAGGTGGAGGGGTTGGAATTGGAGGAGTGACGGGGACATAATGGTAAATGGAGCATTCTTTGTGGCATCTGGCGAGGGTGTAGAAGTTAAGTATGAGAAGGCTTACAGTGTGGAGCCCAAATCTGCTGTTCTCATTGACCAGTTAACCATGAACGCCGGTGTCTTTGGGGCCAGGTCTGTCTTTTCCACTTTCTCTCTCTTCCTTTCACCTTTCTCTTTTTTATTTCCCTTTTTCTTTTGGCAAAATATCAGATATTAGTTTTTTTTTTTTCCCGTATTGTATCAGCTATTAGATTGATTGCGGGGATTACGGCATTCTCTATAGGAGATTGTGGTACTGTTTTGGCCATCCCTTAAGGCAAGGCCTTTTGGACTCATACATGCGAAAATAAAACTATATATAGCTTGATTTAATTCCAGAGATACTAGTGAAAGTAAAAATCAAAACCTTTGAGTATATGTCGCAACCCAGTGGTCTAAATTCATTGCATTTATAATCGCGATAACTAGATTCATGACATATATAAGTTATGTATAAGTGGGTTTATGTCGATTTATTTTTTAAATGTGTGAAAACCGACTATGATATGATGAACCACTGCTGGGTAAACCGATGTTTATTTCAATTTCCCTACCCTAGAATTCATGATCACCCTTACTAATTTAAATTCAGATGGGCTTAGAATCGTAGGCCATTCAGCCCAACGTTTGCCCAGTAAGAAATGGGCTTTAAGGTTGAGTTGGGTTGGTACCTACTCAAGATCACCAGGTCCAATTTTACATAAATTGCATACTCCCACAGAAATCGTTTTTTTCAAAGCATATTCTGGAGTTCATAATATTTGCTTAACTTTAGAGGATATTGGTGATGAGCAGGGGCAACAACCTGGGCAAGTGGTCTGCCGGAAACAATGGAGGTGGGATGAGTGGTATGGGGTCAAGCTCCGATGATATGGACGACTACGACGATGAGTCCAGTGGCAGTGCACCTTGGCCACCTTCCTCTAGTTCCATTCTCTTCTCTTTCCTAATTGCATTGTCATCCTTCTTGTTTCTACACTTAACTTCAATGTTCATGTCATTGTAGTACGAAATTAAACAAAGCTTCCTTCTTTTTATCGTTGTTTTTCTTTTATTTATCTCGGTTCTATGACAATTAAACCCCCTCCTCCTTCGTTCTACCCCCAACGAGTATTCAGACAACAACTGTTCCGATGAACATTCACTCACTTTTGACAGTTATATGATTCTAAGAGATGATCCACAATTGGGTCAATCTCGTTTATTTGAACTCGACATTGGAGTAGTTTTTTTTTTTTTTGTTATAAAGTATTTAGACTTACGTCAACTACTCCTGAGACGAGATTGAAATAGTTGTACAAGCCAAAACTAATCCAAATGTTATTGTAATACGTGCTGATGTACCTCATCCTCGTGTGCAACGCACAACGTTGAAGGAAATGTAATTTTAACCACAATTTTTTGCACTTTTAATGTGATATAGATATATCGGTCAAAATACTTTAAACTTGATTCCCAAACTCATAATTCTTGATTATCAAAACCCCCCCCAAAAAAAAAAGAAAAAAAAAGAAGACAAAAGGCACTCACCCATACAAATACACACACATGACATCCATTCAGGACAGTGTAAAAGAAACAAATAATTGAATTTTCCCCACAAGTAAAGAGAAGGGTGTAAAGAATTTGTACGGAAGAGGAAGCATCACAACATACATGAAGCCACTATTATATTCAAACATGATATGGTTTTATATATAGTGACATAATCCTTATCAATTTCATGGTAAGAAAAAGCATGGCATATACAGAGCCTTAGTCATGTCCTTATCCTATCCATTTTTATTATCTTGTGTGTGACTCAGTTATTTGTGACCGAGAAGATCTCTCTGTCTGAAGGCTATTCATCAACTTTATAGCCACTCAGTCTTAGCTACTTAAAAATTTAGTGTATGAGAAATGTGACTAGAAGATGATGTAATGTAGTGTAATTTAGTTTCCTATCATCTTTTGAATGCTCAACTTGTTTGTGACTAAGGGTGGGGTGGGGAGGGGACCTCCAGATTGCTTTGTACTTAATATCATGACAACTTAGTTTTTGTAAGGTACTGTGATTTTCTGGTAAGTTCTCTTCATCTACCCAGTCATAATAAGGAGGAATGGTAATAAAGAATATCATCATTTTCTCACAAGCTTTAGATATCTACTTGGCATGGTCATTTCAGGTAGACCCGTGTCTCCCACCTCATGATCAAGTTGCCGAAAAAACATTATCGTCTACTTTGTGATTACACTCACCAACTCTTGTGACCTATGAAGATTACATCACACAGTACTTTCAAAACTTTTCTTGCTGAAAAACAAGAATAAAATTTGTGGTTTTCATTGTTGTCAAAAGAGACTTCACACTATAATATGGTATATCACTGAACAAACAGAACAGAACAGAATAACATGACATTCAGTTGCTTAGCAATTGTGCAACACCTAACCTTGACTACAACTTTAATTGTGACATCCAAAATAATCTGCATACAGAAATTCGATAACACGAGAAGTGGAATGGCTCGTGGCACTTCGACCATAATGTCCACCAATTGTTCACATGTTTGAGTCTCCTGCTCTCCTCTCCTACATTTGTATAATTTTATCTATAAATACTAACCCATTTCCTCCTGTCACAGAGACATCAAATCACAAGATCGAAAATAAAAAAATAAATTTCCCTTTTTCTTTAGAAGGGCCATAGAAATAAGAAGAAGAAGAAGAAGAAAGAAAGAAAGAAAGATAGAGAAAAGGAGAGGCTGAACAGAAATAAGAGGTAGTTTTTCTTGGAAAGTCAGGGAAGATGGAGTTTAGTTTCTGATTGTCCCCAACTATACAAGAAATCCCATTTGATTTGCTACACAATTATAAACATCTCTGTAATACAGCATGGAGTTTATTTCCTTTGAACCTAGCAAAGAACTTTTACTGTGTACTCTGAACATGTCCGACAACAAGCTCAAACCACATTCAAAGGAGACATATTTGATATAACTCTTTCTGCAAGGATCACATGTTCAAAATTTGTCTTAAGCAATTTACTGATCATGACAAATATAGTTAAGAATCACTTACCATTCAAGTTGGCATTTTTTTGGTACTGTTTTATTAACTTTGATAGAAGTGTGACGAATTTTTTGTAAATGCATATCCCATATCCTGCCTGAATTGTGCAATGCTTTTACGCAGGAAAGGCCCAAAGCCAATCCCAGGGAACAATGAAGCTTCATAGGTCTTTGGATGTGAATCAAAGGCTGGGAACATCATCTCCTTTTCAGGGGAGGAGTAATCGTCAAATGTCTTAATGCCCCTAGGAAAAAAGAAGCAATTCATGTAGATCATATTCTCATGGCATAAAGTGTACTAATCTCCTCTGCAGAGCCTATCGAGTATTGAGGTGGATTTTATTCGATGTCTGCTTCAAAAATATGCAGTCACTATCAAAATTTTGAAGTCAGATCAACAGGTTTCTCCTCATGGGATACTCCTGAAGGCAAATGTCTTAGTGAGTTGCATTCATAAAAACAAATAAAAATAGTCCCACAAATGTATAAAAAATCTGCACTTGCAATATTTTGGGGAGAGAGAGAGTCCATTGGTTTGGTTTCAAACTAGATCTATGAAAAAGTAAAATTTTGATAACATAAATTACATTAATGAGTTGCCTATGTACACTGGACAGTTCCTGTGATTCACTTCTTAATCAATCATCATCTTCGAGTAATCTAGGTCCCAGATAGAATCTAAAGAGTCCCATAGACCATCGTCACTGTCTTTAGAGATCCATGCTGTATAACAGGAACATGACAAGTCTAAGCTGCAGCAGTGCCATTGATGTTGCATAATTTCACTTTTCTCAGAAGACCAACATGAAATCCAATCTGATAATCGGACTTCATATGGTGAATTTAGGAATGCAAAGTCCAATGGCTCAAGTGTATCAGAAGAATAATCGGTCCCTGAAATACAATCCTTTCCAGATGTGAAATCTCCATTGTGAGTTCTTGGAGTGACTCTCTCGCATTCTGGAATCAGCAAATTTTGCTTCGCTTTGTTTCCGAGACCTCCAAAAGTTTCTGCACATAAAGAAACTTGCTGCTAATAAAACATAGATACCAATCTGGATGTTATCAAAGAACAGAAGATATCTGCAGTATTGCACCTTGTTCATGAACTTGTGCTTTCTTTCTCAAATTGCTTTTCCAGTAGTTCTTTATTTCATTGTCGGTTCTCCCTGGCAATCTTTGTGCAATCCTTGACCACCTACGAATTGAACAGACATCTATCTTGAATAAACAGAGGGCCAACTGCTAAGTTGGAGATTGTGTAACATAATTATCTATATACTTCAATATGTCTCTTCATGTACAGGTCAAGTTTTAAACCAAACACATGCAGGTCTTATAATTAGCAGAACTCTGAGCTTATTATAAGTATCTCAGAAGATAAGAGAAAAGATCATTACTTGTTGCCCCATAGTTCATGAAGTTGAAGAATGATTTGCTGCTCTTCTGCACTTATTTGTCCATGCTTTAGATTGGGACGAAGATAGTTCATCCATCGCAACCTGCAACTCTTTCCACTCCTACTTAGGCCTGCAAGTAAGCAACTTCCATGAGAAATCTCTTACTTCAACCCAACAATTATTCATCTTATGTTCATACTTACCATGTACCAACTTATACCTAGGGGTCTTAGGAGCCTACTTGAGCTGACAACAGGTTGCTCAAATTCGATTCGTATACAAAACGATCTTAGAAATCTGATCAAGTTCAGTTCGTTCTAAAATTCAAAATGAGTTTGAACACGTCAAAACCAAGCCGAGCCCAAATAGAATATTACTTATACCTGATGCTTTTGCTAATGCATCCCACCGCCGTTCCCCCAAAAGGGCCACAGTGGCTGTCAATATTTCATCTTCCTCCTCAAGCCAAGGCCCTTTACGCAACTTTTCTTCTTGCATGGTTGTCTGCAGCAAACTTACATAACAATGGCCTTCTTATACAAGGTACAAGGTGGCAAAGGGTAGGGCAAAAGTGACAAGTGAGGATGACCAGAATGTCTTACATGGCACCAGAGCCAGTGGTGGACAACACTAGTTTGTGGAAGCTCCACCATTGGCTTGCATGCTATCATCTATCATCCTCATGCTGTTTTCATTAGATCATCCAGGGATTTTTGAATTGCTTTTTATAGGTCGTTGTACATTTCTTAAACCTAGCAAGAATAGAGCGAAGTTAGTGTCATTTGATTCGAATCGGACCAGTGATATAGAAAAGATATAGAATAAAATTTAGTTTTCGTCAACTTTTTTAAATTTCAGATAACATGTATCTTTTTTTTAGTAGATTAGATCACAATTTTTCATTCTTTTGTGTTGTCGTCACCTTCCCTTAATCTTTTCATAAGATTGGGTGGAGTTCTATCTTCTTGTTTGCATCACTTTGTCTGGTTATGTTTCAAAAAGTTGTCCTCCACTTTTACTTGCTGAAACTTCAACTAACTTGCAGTTTGCATAAAAATTTGCCTCTATCCATTATAAAAAGAAGGGTTAATCGCAAATTATACATTGAAAAATTTCTTGAATTTTAATTTGTACCATGAAAGATAAAAAATTTTAATTTATACCCTCAAAAATATAAATTTGTATCAACGTACACCTTGTCTAAAACTAAATGAGTAAATTACACCTAGACCCCCTCAAATTCATCACTTAATCACTGAACCCTTCACATTTAGAATATTACACCTATACCATCTGACGTTTATACATGTGTAACAAATAACTCCCTATCGTCAATATCCGTTAATGTAACCGCTAAAAAATTGATGTCATCCTAATAAATAATTATAATTTTTATACTACTTTTTATTTTATGGGTCCGTTGTACTCTAAAATTCAAAATCAAACTTACCTTTTTTAATGTCTAATATAATACAGATATTATATAATGTTCAAGAGTATTAGTATTATATAATGTTCTTTATGTCTAATGCAACTTGAATAGAATTATTTGGTTATCCAATTAGGAAACACTTTTAGCCATATTTGGATTCTTAGGGGTATATGTGTAATATTTCAAATGTGAGAGAGTTCAGGTGATTAAATAATAAACATGAGGGGATCTATGTGTATTTTACCAATTTAATTTTAGACGAACGGCTAGCTTGAGATGCACATTAATACAAATTTGTATTTTTTAGGATGCAAATTAAAATTTTTGATTTTTGAAAGTATAAATTAAAATTCAAAAAATCTTTCAAGGTGCAATGTGTTATTAACCCTAAAAAGAATAAAAAAAAGTTTAGGACTGATGGGCATATATAGAGTTAGACAGAAAAAAGGTTAAAGAAGGTTGTGAAACAACTTTAAATCTTCTCTCAGATTTTCTTTAAACCAAAGAAAACACCATTGGCCTGTGAGTGATACACTCTAACTTATTAGAAACAAGCACGTAGAGGACCACCCAGCTGATTCTTAGGCCATACGGTGGATTCAACTGCATCTGGCGTATTTAATTGCCATAAGAGTTTAAAATTCTGAGCTTTCTGAACCATTAGGTTCATGTGTCACTTTATGATTGGTGACGTGTGTCCCAAACAGCGTAACTATCATAACTGTGATCATACCCGCACTAATACATCTGATTCCAACAAAATTTATCAGTTAAATTTAAATTATTTAACTTGAAGGAGAGTAGTACGAAGATTGGTCACCCTCGCATTGCACACCTTTTAAAAGAAAGGAAGAAAAGAGGAATCTCTAGCCTTCTATTTCAGCTTCATATCCAGCACACTGCATCTAAAAGAGTAAACATCCACCATAAAATTGCTGCCATCATAACATAAGGATCATTTGCACAGGCAACGTAGCGCCTCCCCCCCCCCCCCCCCCCAAAAAAAAAAAAAAAAACAACCCAAAAAAACCCCCACCCGCTGCTGAAAACTCTGTCAAACATTTATTGAAAGTGCAATCGGCTGAAAACAGTAGTAAAATGTAATCAAAGTACATATAAAGTCCTCAGTAATACCACTTAACTTCAACTGTAAGGCGAAACAACATGAAAACAGAACTCTCTCCAGACACTAGTCATCATACAACCTACCTCCGCTGGAAAAAGGGACCAAATTCCCAAGTCTTCCACATAGACTATAGTCTAAAAGAAAATAAGAAGTCGAATTAACAAGAAAACTGGAAAGATTTCTCTTACAGAAACTCTGCTTCGCAAGGCTTTCACTCATCACCAGTAGGTGGTACATATAACTCACGAGTCTTATGCTGCAGCTGACTAGCAAATTTGAAGCACCTAACGGTCTATAAATGATTTGTTCATAAGGTCAACGGCTGAATCCATGAACTGCACCCACAAATAATTAGCAACATTCCTCATCAATAATGCTAAGCAAATCGTAAACCACATTTTCATATCAGATAGTACTTCAAAATTGAGACTTGCTGTGACCAAAGATTCAAGTGCTCTACATTCGATCTTCCTTTTACATGTAATCTTTTCTGTGTACTCTCTTTTTCTTTACCAGTTCACCAGAGTTTCAGAAGCTAGCCACTCAGTAAGCAGAACCAACATTCCAATGCTCTCAAGACCCAAAAACAAGTATTAGATATTGGCAACCATTCCAAATCCCCCAGAAAACCACTTAATTAGGCATTGGGAACAGTTCTAAGAAAATCATCAAGAGACAATAGCATACTCTGTCTTCACAATGCAACAGGAAAGAGTTGGAAAATAGCATTGACATGAGAAATTCCAAAGACGAGAGGTCTGTTGAGACTCATTGACAAGCTATTTCTTGAAGCTTATTAAGTCAAATCAGCCAGTCAGACCAGGTGTCCCCTTTCAACTAGTGTTTCAGTTTTGATCAAAAAAAAAAACTAGTGTTTCAGTGGCACCACTATAGGGAAGCAAGAAGTTCCATGTTGATAAGCATATAAGCAAATGCCAAAAATGTGGCCCCATAAGTGCCGGTGAACAGATTTCAAAAGATATGCAAATGAAGATATACAGGTAAAATGTAATAGGATCTCCTTTTCAACTATTGTTTCAATTGCTCAACTATAGGGAAGCACAATTTGCTTTCAGGGTTGATAAGCACATAAGCAAATACTTGAAGGTGGCCTGGGTGCCACTTATATTAAAGTTAAAGAGTGACAGGATTCAAAGGGTCAAACAATGGAAAACCACTGGCAATAATTCCCAAATGGTTAATGGTGCTAAGTTATTCCAAAAATCAGTAAGTTCAGGACCAGATCAGACGCCCGACTATATACTCAGACCAGAGAAAGTAGTCAGACTGCAAAATGAAGGGACATCTCTTCTGGAAATGTGAGTCAACAACCACAAGTTTTATTGCAAAAACATTTGAATATTATCGGGTAAGAAAACTATTTTGTTTGCAACTTTGCAAGTAAAATTGCTACCTCTTATATGACATCAAAATTTACTTTTTTCTAGATGGATCACATTAATACCCTGGATACCAAAATCATCACACATCAACAGTTGTAGATGTTAAAGAATTTTTTTGTATATATATTGTGTATATTGTCAACCTCTTAATTACAAGTTTGTGTCAATGCAGCTGCCAAACTTCAAAATGCATCACAAGTCAAATGGTCTCAAAAACCTCTGTTACTTTGCACAAACCGAAGTCACAGGAAAGGGCAAACGATGTGCACATGATGGTCGAAGTCCGATTTTAAAAAGCGCACCTAATATCTATACACACCATATAAAATAGAGCAAAAAGGGGTGCATGTGGAGTGCTTCATATCCAAGCATCAATTAATGGGGACACTGTGGAAAATTTAGCTCCCTGTCATCTAGTGGAAAACCAAATGGTTGGAAAGATGTGGCAGGGGCAAGATGCTTATTCAGAACTCCAATGCTGTCGCACTTCATTGAATCAAAGACCTCCTTTTCTTCACAAACATTTATATTCAGAAACACCTAGAAAAACAAGAAAGTCCAGAAATGTTACCTTCCCAATTGCCTGGAGTTCTCGTCCAACTGGTTCCATAAATTTCAAGTTGATGTCAACAGGCCACACCTGCACATATTCAGAGCAAAAAGGGACTGTAGGTATCAAAAGATGGATACATAGCAGATCAGAATCAAGTGTTTGTAGTGCCAGAACTCTTTAAAGTCATTACAAATAGCAGAAACAAAAACCCATCGGCAGCAATTAAATTCCTTATAAGCTCTAGCCCAAACATTTATAAAACCAAAGATGTTTAAAGTGACGTTCCATTTTTCTCTCATAAGAATCATCATTGTGGATGCCACAAAATAATTTACCATCAGACCATATAAGAAGGTGAACATCAGAAGCAACTATAGGCTCACAACAAAAAAAATTAAAACAAACATTCCAAAATAAAGTCAGAGAAGCGTAAATTCAGTTGAAGCATTCCTCCTCAAAACCCTCATCTTGCCAAGATATCTGCTTTCACATCAGATAAACAAGATATCTAAGAAATCTCTACCTCCAGAAAGCAAGATCAAACTAAGATTCCTGGTAGAGAGTAAGCATAGCACTCGCATTGAGTAAGCATAACACCAACCACCAAAAAATTGTGATATCACCCAATTCAGGATCTCTGTCCATTAAGCAATTCCTTGCAGAAGAGCTAGAATCTTTTTTCAAGAGAGAAACCATTTTCCACCGGTATAGAGAACAAAAATACAAGACCACAATGGCATTGAAATAAACTAAACTATGCAAACAAGAACTGGACCAAAATTGTAATTAACTTTAGCTACTACGGGTGGTTTCAACTCAAAAGAGAAGCCCACACAAGCAAGAGAGAGAGAGAGAGAAAGAGAGAGCATTTTAGAAATACATAATAGGAAATTGACCTAAGGCCACTGACCTATATAGTTAAAGGGGTTGGCAGACTTAACAGGGCGCAAATAAATGCAGAGGTAGTGTAAGATCAGTTTCATCTGTTACAATGAGGCAATACACAAAATAAGACTACACGGGTACGGTGTTTCAACCATTTCAAGCCCCTAACGGCCTAACCTATACCCAACCCAACCCTCTGGAGTCTGGATTATCCTTCAAACACTGACTATCTACAGTGTGACATCCCTTGTGACACATTTCAGAGAACCTTGATCCAAAAATCAGGCAAAACACAAAATTTGTGACCATAAGAAGCTAAAGATAAAAGCATTTTGTGTTAAGAAATTTCTGAAATAAAAAGTATGGAAGATATTGTAATGCGCAAGAAATTGGCTCCATAAATGTGTATGAAAACAATGCATAAACCAAGTCAAACAAGTAACTTCATCATTAGATCCTTACAAAGGTGATCAGTTCCCATTGACAAAAGAAGAGATAATATATTCAGAAAAGGGGGTGTATAAACGAAATGTAACTTGCTTTACAAGCCAGAGTACTAAATCTATACAGTAAAGTAAAGTAGAGTTGTTTCTGAATCTAGATACAAAAAGCAGCACAGATCGTTTCCTAACAGAAAAAATACTTCATCCAACGGATTACAATGCCATAACGTAAAAAATATCTCAAGATCATTTTAAAATATATTGACCCGACGAACCAAAATAAGTCCTGAAATATTTTTTCTGGCCTATAGAACTTTCCATTTTTTGAATACCATTCTCTCACACCCAATCTGTATCACCCTGGAATATCCTCTTTCTCTATCTCTCACGTTCCCCACTGTTGTAACCCCAACCGAAAGAATTGCACACCAGCTGTTCGATGAATTGCCAAACTGATTTTTTTGGCCTGTGGGATCAGGGATGCCTATTCGTGTGTGTCTTGTCTATTTCTCTCTATTACAACTAATGTTTGTCTGTTTGTGTGGTTGAGTTTCTATGACAAACCAATGGGTAAACATAAATCTTTTTGGGTTCTTTTTATATATTTATGTTTGTTTTTCTTGAAAAGTGAGTAAATTAATATAAGTGATGTATATTACCCATCAACCTAATTTATCTATGAATAGTTGATTATGAATGTGATTATTTCAAGAAAAGCACTCATATTTTGTAGTTTTTCTTTGAATTTTGAGAAAATGCTCAAACAGACCATTGGTGGGCAATGGGACACCAAAAGTTTTATGTTTTAGATGTTCTGAATGGGCATTCTTATGGTTACGTTCTAACGGAGCATTTTTATTATTATGCACACCCGCTCGTTGACGGAGAGGTGCAGCGGTGATGGAGATGATAAGGTTTTTGGATCGATTATGAATTTCCAACTCTCTTTGTTTTAAATTTTGGTTTTCCAATTCTGTTTTTTTTGTTAATTTAGTTTTCCATCGCCGGAATTTGATCGAAGACTAACCAGCTAAAAGGGTAAATCTTTGGTAGGTAAATTTTTTTTAAATCTTGGATCCCTAAACAATCTTTTTATTTAATATCCATCCCTTTTTAGTTGTGTTCAAATGACATCAAGACATACGTAAATATACGGTGGTCGACATTGTTTGAATTTAGTGTGAGTAGTTGAAACTTGAAATTGATTTCTTTCCAATTTAAATGAACTTGAATCTCCCTTTTTGCTGCTCAATCTAGCTCTTAATCTATTAGAGAAATCTTAGTTGATTGATTGTTCTTCTTAAATGTGCATAAAGTGAGAATCCCGCAAACTCTATGTTTCTTTGTTTCCATATTGGTTTGTTTGCTTATCAATCTTAGTTTTTGTGGGTTAATGTATTTTATTTTTTTCGTGGAAAAGCTCAATGTGTTGTTTTTGTGGGTTATGCTGCTTGAGGAATAAAAGTGTGGCATGAATTGTTGGTTGTTATAGGCTGAGATATTCTCACACTGTTGGCATTGAACGATAATGCCATCAATCTGATCAACTGTTGCTTTCAATTTTCTGAGTGGCATCCCTTCGAATAACAACGCTGATTGGGCCTTGAAAAGCCCACATTTTTCTTTCATATACCAAGTTAGTATGATTAACTTCTTTGTTTCTAAAGTTGTATTAGTATCATTTAGAGAACTCATAAATGGATTGATTTGTAGGGAATTTCATGTCAAGGAAACCCACAAAAGCCCTTTGTTCAAAGGTACTCATTGGAATGTAGTTTAGTTTCTGCCATTTGTGGCTTATTGAATAAGTTTAATGCTAAGTTTGGAAAATATTATAAAGCTCCAACATAGAAATGGTGATTTACTATTGGAATTGATGTTCAAAAAAATATTGCAAGAAAATTTCTGAGATTAGGTGAAATTAGGGAGAAACTTTGAATGTCGTTGCAAAAAAGTTCTTTTCAGGACTAATTTTTTTGGGGTGGATTTTTTTGGTTCATTCATGATATAATGTGGCAGTTTTTGTTTCCTTACTAGAACTAGTAATCTAAAGGTATAGTGTTTGAACATATCTCTGGTACAATTTTTGTGATCCTAATGTTTTCCGATACCTATTACAAGTTGTTGAATGTTTTAAAACCCAAGCCTTAATTGAAGCTTTTTTCACTCTGATTGAACCTTTTTTTTCTTGATGGATGGATTGTGGTGCATAGTTTTAAGGAGTTTGAATAATTATGCGCTCTTTTTCGAGTTGATGTGAATGGGATATTGTGTTTTTTTTTTTTTGGTCGTTACATAGTGCCTATTTTAATACAACTTGGCTAATTGCAAATTTGTTATTTTACAAAATGCCTTTAGACACAGGTAATTTCTAATCTATCCATATAAAAGAGAATGAAATAATTCCGAGGTGATGTGTCACTATTCAATAACAACCACCACCCACCTCTAACTATGATTCAAGGTCCCTTAACCATAAAAATCGCCCATAAGTTGTACAACATCCATACTGCATCCTAGAACTATGGGTGAATGCATAATGCAGTATAACAAAAAAAACAAAATATCAAACATATCCATCATGAAGCAGAAGTGACAGGCACAACGAATATCTAAGTTACTATTATTCTACAAAACACTAAATAAGCTTCTCTTTTTTTTTTTTCTCAAAACAAGTTAATCGGTTATTAGAAAGACATTAAAACCAATATGACCAGCGGCCAAAGGCTAAATGTCCCAAGACTTAGAAGAGAAGCCGATTGCTTGTCATTTACATTTCCTACATGTAATATTTACAAATTTAAATGACAATCAGCTATATGAAAGATGTTTCAAATCTAGAAAAACGAAAAAAAACGAAAAAAAAAAAACATAAAAAGCACCTTCAGACCAAGTAACTTAACGGGTGCAATCTGTCCTGGTACAATGCAATCTGGTCCTGCTGCTTCCACTATAGCCTCCTTTCCTAACCCACTTCCAATTGGATTTGGGTGCTGCGAAATTCCCCCATCCAAAGCCCAAAAAATTAAAAATAGTAAAACACAATTGAAGATAAACACAGTTATCATCCAAAATCCAGAAACACAAGAACAATAAAAACCATAACAGAGAGAGAGAACTGGAACTACCTTCATTACAGAGAGGGCGTAATCTGAATAAGGATTATGAGAGAGGCGAAGAACAGGGGAGTGGTGAATTTTGGGGATGGGCTTGACAGAAGGGGATGCCCTCCATGGAACATCCTTTTGCAGCGTAGCTCCTCCTTTTCTGGACATGGGTGTGTTTGGGTCTAGTGATATTTCAACAAAGGTGGTGGCTCCGGTTTTAGTGGAATAACTATATGATACGACCAACAGAAGAACAACCCAGAAGCAGGGCGAGGAGAACGAGATGGAGATGTGATATTTGTGTGTGGAATATCGATGTCTTTTCGGAGACAGAGGGGGTAACCGCAAGAGAGATTAATTTTTTTCTTTCTTTTTTTAATTTTTTTGTAATTAGTTTTTTTTTTTGGGGGGGGTTTTCACCCACCAACAAAATTTATTTCTATAATTCTATTAAAGGGAACAAAAAGCAATGCCCAATGGTTGATGTCATCGTATAATAGAGTGGGTGTTACTTGAAACGTAACATTTATGTCAATAAGTGCTAAGCAAAATTATTTGAAAAAAAAATAATGAGTAATATTAAATTAACTATACAAAATGAATTAAAAATGACGACTAAATAATATAGTTTTTCTATAATAGTATTATTGTTTTTATTTTTACTCATTTGAAATTTAAATTTATCTCGTTTAGACTCTGAAATTTAAATTTATCTCATTTAGACTGTAATATTACTGATAAATAATATGCCCTTTTCCTACATTCTAAGGTATCCATTTTGGTTTTTTTTTTTTTTTTTGACACTTCAAAAGAAATAAAAATTCCTTCAAATTCTTTACTAGTCCGATGCCCAAAAAGAAGCAATGGAAGTAGATTCAATCCCGTAAGGCTAAACAATGTTGGACTGTAGGCTTCATCAACTATGCCACACTTGTTTAGATCAATTCTACGTGTAGATGTCATTCTGAGACGAAGCTCTTTTAAGTAACCATGTTTAGGTCACCATACATAATCCTTGTCCAAACATGAATCAACCATTCATAAACAATGTTGCTTCCAATCAGATTATTAGTGCCCACGGACCTATGATGCCACTAATCTGAGCAATTCCAGATAACACTCTAGCAGCTAACTAGCCTATAATTAGACGGCAAACCAAGGTTACCCGAGAGTGAAAGGTAAGGCGTGAAGAATGTTAAGTTCTACCCTTACTCCTTATATTCTATCAAGCAGAACACATTCATGTGTATATGAATGCTCAAATTCATCACCATAACAGATTTCACAACATTGGGGTTACAGGGACACAGAGTTTTCACCCGAATGTTCCAACCTACTTCACATGGAAAATATTGGTCCATATTGTACAAATGCAATGTAAGATAATAGGTACTTCTCTTCATGTAGGAAAAATGTTGAATGAACCCAGAAGAGATACTTCACAAACCATCCTGAATCTGCAGCACATTACTTGCAAATATTGATACATCTAAATTACATTTGGTAGCTACTTTTTCTTCTGTTTTCAACGATTAGGAAGCAAGAAAGGCAAAAAGAGGAAGAAAGAGTGAATATCACCAAGATGGAGAGAAAAGCAAATCTGGGGATCATGCATGCATCATTTTGTGTTGTGATGCATAGTAAGTGATCAGGTAGGCAGTGACCATGTCCCCTCAGCCTCCTTGTGCTGCAGCAACTGCCAATCTCTGCCATGTTAATTCCCGCTGCTCTTCCAACTCTCCGGCCCTGGCCTCTCTATCTGCATACTGTCTCTGGCATTCGTCAAACAACTCGGTATCCATTTCTAGGAACATTTTCCGAACATTAACAGTCAAACCATGGACTGCCTGATTCCAGTGAGATTGAATATTCTTCTCCAGTGCTTCAAAAATGATTGGTAATGTGACATTTCTGTTCTGGGCAATCAAGCTCACAATATGCTCGTTATTCCACAAAAAGAGAGCTCGTTCTGCTACCTGCAACATAAATTTGCCAATGAAAAAGACCTTGAAATGGATGCAATTGGCTTAACAAGAATAGATTATTTGGTCAGCACCAAATCTACAATACTTCAGATTCCTAACTCATATGTTCTGTCATCTACAAAATATAACCTTATGAATAAGAACCTAACCTTCAGACAATCAACTCTCACCACATAAACCAAACTTCTCAGCCAATCAAGAACACCAGAGGTAAAAATCCAAAGATAAAAAAACAAATTTTACCCTAAGAAACAGTTCATTAACCACAATAGAATTCAACAATTTAATTCTAGTTATAAACCAAAACAACCAGCACAACAATGACCAACTGAACTATTCTATGTTGCACTCAGGCCTGAGTTATGCACAAAATAAGGTTTGACGTACACCAATAACAATAGTAGCAACAATTCATTTTTCCAATTAATTTGGCATGTCCATCATTGGGACAAGACTTTGTTAAGTTGAGTTGAGTAGAGTAGAGTATGCACCTTCATAAGCGCGAGCTTCAAAAAAATTGGAGACTGTAAAACCAAAAGGTCAAAGAAGTTCAAATTTTTAGACAGTTATTTTCTCAGTTAAATTTTTCAATCAATATCCCAAGGTTGCCTTCATCTCTTTCGAAAAAAAATGTATAACCAGTACAACACAATATTGGTTATCTGCCTAAATTAAATCCCTGTGAGTGCACAAATTACTTAGATAAAAAATGTATAGGAAAAATAAAATAGATTAAATTAAAAAAAAAAAAAAAGATTCACCCAAAATATAACTGAAAATGTTGATCACATATGTTTTTCCAGTTAAAAGATTAGGATGCTATTTTCGTAGGATTATAGCATATTGAATGCATTTACGAAGTAAGCGCACTTCTTTGCTTCAAAACTAACTCACCTGACAATCAAAATATAACACAGACATTGTAATCAAAAGTTCAATTCTGCCGTCAAACCAGGATGAATTTTGCACTCTCATATTTTTTTCCTTATCTTTGTGGGTGAAAGAATTTTCTCTTAAAAGGATAAAACTTCCAACGTATCATGACTTGATCTCTTCCATGACATATTGTTCATCAGTTGGCGTGCAAACCTCAAAAAGAAGTAATGTGCATCCAATAAATAAAATGGATATTGTCCAACAGTTTGAGTCGACTCCATTGAGATGCTAAGAAATCCTGGTCTCGCACAGAAATAGTTATACAATAACCACATTCTCTCTCCATGTGTCTAAAGTTCAATTTTTGGATAAATTCTGGGGTATATGTTCTCCGCTCTCCACCAATTAGTTATTATCATAGACTGATATCGAAAAATGACATGGGTAATTTGATGGGAAAACATGGTGCAAAAAGTTGTGATTATTCAACAATGTGAAATGACATGGACCCAAATCGATACCCAACGAGAATTTTGTCCAACCAAACAAATAGAAAAAGAGGATGTAATAGCTCCAATAAAAGTCATCTTATTCCACATAAAATACAATATGATTAATAACAAATCAAGAAAGGATAGTAAAAAATATTGAAAATCATAGATTCTTTCCTTTTCAGTTGTCAAATTTTATTTAAATAACTGCTATCAAAAGGTAAATGTGATGTATAGTAGACCTAATAAGCCAACTGAGAAAATAGAAATAGGAAGAACATGAAAAAGATACAACAAAAACTATGACATCAGACAAGTTGACACATGGGGGCACCCCAGACATTGGAATTTCATGACTTTGAACCTAACTAATATTGTCAGTTATATCCTGAAAACAGTTTTACTGCTTTTCCTGTCCGAGTGAGTCAATGAACAAAAGTAGGCAAACTATGTTCAATCCATGTGATGCAAGAAAGAGGAATCCCATCTGTGAAGAAGGGCAAGCATGCAACAACTATCCCACCCACGTATAGAGCAACAACCTACTTAGGAGAAGACATAATGAAGTTGAGTTGGTGTTTGTCTTGCGTGAATTGTTGAAAATAATTCATGAAATAAATAGCAGAAATATCCTGCTTCAGCCATTCCACAAGAAGCCAAAAGTTCCACGCAACAAGACAGGACAATAGTCAAAGGACAGATTAAAGTAAAATCTGGTTATCATGTTTCTTCTCAAGGAACCAGTAAGCATTAAATCCATAAGAAATAACACATCTACCACATTTGGGCACATCATTAGCATGAGAAAAGTTCTAAACTTTATGCCCTCATAAGTACTTTTCCCAAATAAGAACAACATTAAACAGGCACTTTGAGTAAATGCATGTGAAAAGTAAAGAGGAAGAACTACTATGAACGAACAAAGAATAGATCGCTCAAATATATGACCAGGTGATCAAAATAGCTTGGAAAAGACAAATTTCAAGATTACTATGTCGTCACTAACAAAAAGAATGAAACAGACATGAAGAAACCCTCTTCTTAAACAACCATATCTTAACAACACACACCAGCTTTTAAGTTTTTGTCTTAGCAACAATTCAAAAGAAAAAAATCCAACCACATGCATTCAATTATGATTAAAAATAAAAGTTTCATCATAGGCATGAAAAATAAAGGAGTTGCATAAAAATACAGTAATAACCAGATTGTTTTTGAACTTTGGCAAACCTGAAAGTGAGAGCTATTGAGGCAACGAGCTATTTGTCTGAAAAGAGGCACCATGCAGCGCTGAAATTCGGCTGCCTGTGTTGCCTCCAACACTTCTTCAAGTTCCCCAAGAAAGAGAACTTCCTTTTGGCAATTGGTGACTGGCCAATATTTCAACAAACCCCTTATAACAGTATCTGCCAACTTATAGTCCTTTTCAACAAACTGAGTAATGCAATATGACAGCTGCTGATGATACAGTGCAACGGACTTTGGCTTGTGGAGTGGTATAAGTGCCCTGACAAGAAACAACTTATGCTCCTCTTTCATTGGCAGCGCAAACCCATTAATTATACTCCCAAGAATTTCCAAAAGCTCACCAATACCACTGTGCCTCTCTGTTTCATATATAAACCGATAAAAGATATTATTGATTGCCTTCCTAATAAATGGGCGATGCACCATGAACTTCCCATAAATTCGGTGAAGGATAGTTTTCAAATATTCCCGCTCTCGGGGATCCTCAGAATCAAACAAATCAAGTACTTTCAACACAAATGAATGGTCAATATACCGCTTGGCAACCTTAGTATCCGTTTCAGAGGACACAACATATCGCAAAAGCAACTCATACACAAGCTGTAAATGCGGCCACGAGGGCTCAAGGTATGGCTCCTCCTCTTCAGGTTCCATATTTTCTGATCCCGTATTTTCATGAGATGCCGGAGGCAAACAGCGGAAAATATTCACTGAAATCATCCTTATCATTTCTTCTTGATTACCCTCAGTTAGTTTCCCCGAACCCGATTGTATGAAATCAACAAGCTCCACAAGTGTCTGCCTCTTGATTTCCTTTTCCCTAACCATTTTCAGTATATCCGAAAAATCGAATTGGAAGCAACAAATTTGCAATTTCCGCAAAAACAAGTTCTGGCGCTCGGACACCGGAACGTCCCGTAACATGGGGAGAGTTTCAATGGTCCCCGAGGGTGGCGCAGCCACGATCATCGGTTGTTGCAGCACCGAATTGACCGGTGCACCCCGAGATGCATGGTTTACCACCACACTGGACGTCAAAACCGACCCAGAATTTCGATTTCCCGGAGGCACAAACCCATAGTCGGCACCGTCCGATTTCGACCCCTTCCGATTCCCTCTCTTTATAATTCTTTGCAACATCGCAAAAAATTCTCAACAAAACAGAATAAGACCGTAACCCTAAATATTAATTTATCCACGAAATTTCAATCAAGTCATCAAAATTGAAGGGAAACTAAAGTTGACTATAGATCAATGAGGACGAAAAGAAAACCCTGAATCAGGCTAAATGTTGGATAAAATGGTACGGAAAATGTGTCTGTAGATTGACGTAATGGATCTACTGTACGAATCGTAGAGATGGACGTGTACCGTTGGAGATTTTCAATTGCGTAAAATTGACCGGCGTTGTGGATCCGAGCGGGGAATATCCATCGCCGGAACTTGGAGGAGCATTTTGGACGGCGAGGATTTACCGGCGATCAGAACAATGAGAGAGATATAGGTAGTGTATTTAGAGAGAGAGAGAGAGAGAGAGTGACGAAAATGGAGATATTATTAAAATGGAGGGGGCGTTAACGAAAACGATGATTACAAATGCCCTTTTTTGACATTTTACGGAAAATTAATTTTTTTTTTTGTGATTAATATTTCTGGTCATTTAAATATTAACAAAATTATCCCAAAAAAAAAAAAAAAGATTTAATAATTCTTGCGATTTATTCTTAAGTGCTAAAAGATTTTGACTAAAATATGTTGTTTGGAATCTCGTCAAAAATTAAATTATGTGTTAAACTTAAATTCCGTCCCCGGTTTATGTAGAAAATGAGAAAAAAAAAAATTACATTTTTTTTATTGTTTAAATGACAAAAAGATTTATACTCAATTCATAAGATTTTCGTCTAAAGTGAAATTTAAAAAATAAATAATAAATAATACAATTTTTTTGAAAATTTTTAAATACAATCACTCTAAATCCAACCACTTCTAACCTCATCGAAAAGATTTGTTTATTTCAAGGGTGGGCATGGAGACAATTGGATAAAGGAGTAAAAGCAAATTATTATCCAATAAAATGGTAGATTTGTACAAGGTTTGAATCTCCTTTGTCCAAATTTTAAAGTAAAAATTTCTTAATTGACAAATCCAAACTTTTTGCTTTTATTTTTGGACATTTGAGAAATTTGATGTTGGTTTTTTTTTTTTAAGAGAAAACGTCACGCTAACTAAATTCAAAATTGTTTCAGATAATGCTTTGAGATCTCTGACGTCGTTTCTTCAATCATTTCACCAGTTATTTGATGGAAGTAAAAAAAACATAAAATATGAACCTCGTTGAAGTTTGATAAAAATACAAAATCTATGGATGCAACTAATTACTTTATAGCAATAAGTAAGTTGAGGTCTTTATAAACTAATTATCGAAAAAAAAAAAAAACCCAAATGCCTCTCAATGTCAATATCTTTATAAATATCATTATATGGTGCATAAGACCACCAAGTGGGATGGTCCAGTTGCCTCTCAATATCATTATCTTTATAAATATCTTATCTACCTTGAGGTTTGAAGTTTGAGTTTTAGAGTTCATATTGAAATTCGATGGTTGACCGTTATACTAACCTAACTAGATTCGTTTTCAAGAGGAATAACGGACAAGGTCAAGGGTCTCATAGTCCCACTAATAAAGACATATTGATGTGGTTTTTGAGCCCTTTCTTTACTCTGACCCTTTTTTTGATTATCAAATATATATATATATATATGGTGCATAAGATTCCTGTCTATATCAAAGTCTAAAACTAGGTTGTGGTGCTAAATTCTGAATGATATATAATTTCATTTTGCATTTCAAAGATGTATTGCTGAAATTGTTTAAACATCAAGAATAGGACCAGACATTATGAGAAAAGTAAACTATACGATCGACTTGGCTTCCGGTCTATGCAATGAAGGCATGACTTGACTATGTCTTTTCTGTCAAGTTCGTTGCCTTTTTAATTGGGCTTGCTTGGTCAAGGATCTCATTTTTGAAACGTTTCTTCTCTCTAAACTATTAGTTTTAGGATAATCTTGTTTAATAACCAATTGTTCTTCCATCTCATTTTTTGATGGGTATAAAATATTATTGTAAAACCCATTTAATAACAAATTTATGGGTTGGATTTTGACATATTATGGTCATTGTCATACATATACAAAGAGATATATGGAGAAACTAGTTATTGTTTGTACTTGAAGGTATATAGTAATAAAAAAAAATGGTCAACAATAATTAAATCACAAATATAAAGGATAAATAGATGAGTTTAAGCACCGATTATAGTGGAAGTGAGCAATGGTAGTAGTGGTGGGTGATAATGACGTCGGTGGGGTGGTGATGGTAGTGGTGATGGTCGTGAAGGGTAGTGGTGAAACGATAGGGGTAGCGGTGGTAAGGGTGATGGTTGGACAATAGCGATGGTAGTAGGGGGCAGTGGGGGATGGTGGTGGTGGCGTGACGGCAATAGTAATGGTGACAGTGGTGATAGTAGGGTATAATGGTGATTGTTGTGGTAGAGATGGTGATGAGGTGACAACGACGGTGATAGGAAATTGGTGGTTATGGTAGCGTGGTGGTGAGGTGGAGGTGACGGTGGTGGGTGTAATGGAGATGGTGGAGGTCGGGCGGTGGTGGTGGTGGGGTGGCAACGGTGATAATGGTAGGGATGGCATGGTGACAACAATGATAGTGATGGTAAAGGAGGGTGGTGGTAGTGGTGATTGTGGTGGTGAGACAATGGGTAGGGTGGTGGTGGTGGGGTGGCGACGGTGGAGGTGGTAGTCGTAGTGGTGATGATGGTGGGGGGTAATTTGGAGGTGGGGGTGGGGGTGGGGGTGGCGGTGGCGGTAGTGGTAGTAATGGTAATGGTGGTGGTAATGACGATGGTGGTGGGGCGATGGGGGTAATGGTGGTAGTGGTGATGGTGGGGTGGTTTCAAACACTACTTTTTTTTTAAAAATATTTATGAGAAATTATAAGTATTAAAAGTACATTTTAAAAATTATCTCAAATACACCCTTAAGAGTCTATTTTCTTTATTAAATTTAGAGTGTTAATATTAACTATCAGATTAACTTTAAAATAAAATTAAAAGAAATCTCAACTGCGAATAGTAAAAGTCATTTTGTTTATCTTTTGAAATTTGAATTGTATTGTACTTTATTATATAGATATATGAAAAGAGCAATATAGTGTATATCTATTTATTTTTTTTCCCATGTTAGAGGATATTTTGGGCATCCCTAATTTGGTCATAGGTTGGATGAGTGGGTTATAGTTCTCCAAATCACTCTGTCTCTCTTTCTGATTGTCCACAAAAAATTTTAAATTACCCATCGTAAAAGGGTTAGATGATATCACTGTACTTACTAGTATGTAATTATGTCAACAATATAAATTAAAAGAAGAAAAAGAAAAATACTCGTGTCTAATGTATTGGATCTTTAGGTTTTTTTTTTTCCATCAAAGTGGATTAGGAGATGCTACCACCTAAACTAGACAACTCACGGTAGAATGACTAGTAGATTCGTTAGACTAACCAAACATGTTCAATCACATTAAAAAGGAAGAAAACAACCATATGCTATGTATGTCACAATCTTACTAATTAAATATGGGTAGGTTTAACTACTTTCTCTGCTCACATCATGTTGCTTCATTCTAAGCAGATGAAAAAATTAATGGTGCAGAGCCTACAAGAAAAAAAAAACTAGAAATTTATTTTCTTCTTCTTCTTTTTTTTTTGTTTTTTTTGGGGTCGGGGTCGAGGTCGGGGTCGGGGGGCCATATGTTTTGGAAATATTTTGGGTGACCTTTGACTTGTGATCAAAGTTCAACAACTAGAATTATTTTATTATATCTTTGTCATGCCAAATGTTAGAAAAATTTGAATGCAAATAAAGTAAATAACATGGTGAGACGCGGTCTAGCTCGCTCTCTTAAGACGATTCGCACCTCTTTATCAAAGAATCACAGCACAGAAGGTAATAACGGGTCATTCCCATAATACAACAGTCCAGCCTATTGACTGTTATTTCACTCAGATCTGCATAATCGAATGAAACAAAAATTTTATACACACCTTTGAATATTGTCCAGAAACTTATATTATAAGAAAATAGTTGATATGATATTGTATATATCTATACTGAAAATACGTATATATATATACAAATAATATATGTGTTTAATATACTATAATTACTTTCATATTTAATTGGATAATAACTCAAAAAATATGACTGTTAGAATACTAGCCGTTAAAAGTTTTTGGTATCTCTTCCACTAGTTACACCTCTACCCACGTGAGAATCCCAAAATTTCTCTTTAATTCAAAAGTTAAATAACGTTAGTATATATATAGATTCAATTATCTTTAGATATTTAATTGATGTGAGATTGAGTTATCATACATAAAAAACACTCTTTTAGTTAAAATATTCTAATACCAGGATAAGAATGAAGAATGAAGAAGCCTGTGAGTTGAAATCTAAGGATTGGTACTAATCAATTTTGGAGGTACAAGTAATGTCTTCATGCTTATATGCTATAAGCTCATTCCTAAAGAGGAACTCATATAGAAGTGAGTTTTTTATCTTTTTAAGTTCCCCTTGTATATCAATAATACTATTCTGATTTTAAATTGTTAACTTAATCAATCACAATCCTTTGATTAATAGTTAGTCCTAATCAATATTAGGATCAATTGTCAATCCAATAACAATTTATTAGATCAACAAATTAAACCAATAAATTAAATTTATGTAACATTACTCGATATAAATAATGGTGCAATAAATACATGAACCGATTGATTCTCTTAAAATTGGGTCGATCTATAGGTCAAGGGTACTTTTTTTTTCGGTTCAACGGTCAAAAGTGTTAGGACCAATTTACGCACATTTTGACTAATCTTCTTCCTAGACCGGTCAAAAACAGACCATCTTTGATGTTTTCTCCTATACTATAGATGTATTATTCAAAACTTGTCATGCCAAGGATTCAAACTTGCTTCAGATTACGGTATAGTCCTCACCTCTTTTTTGGACGGCTTGAACACATCGTTCAAACAAGAGACTGATTTTTGAATTTATAGCAGACAATAGAAAAACTCTGGCTCGTTTTCCAGTCGAACACCAATACACCATCATTCTGATTATCCCCAACTAACACAATTCATACAGCTACTGGAAGCCAATCCATATACGAGCAACTCTGCCATACATGGTTTTGAAAGCGTTGTGACAGGAAGCCATATCATGAAGTACCCAAAAAACTGCATTACTGCACCTGTGGCTAAAAGGCTCCAAACCATCAAGGTAACCAACCGATGATCGGGTGAGCACATGCAAGCTGAAGCTCATCATCGCCCTCCTCGCACCATTGGACTCAGCCACCGCATTGTTTTCTAGTGAGTTTGTAAAGAGCAGTAAAAGGCATAACCACATTATCAAACACCCACAGACTTTCATCTTCCTTTCAAGCTAGGAAGAGGAAAAGGCATCGGAGAGAGAAAAGAGATGCAAAAGGCATAGCAGGAACTCTTACCAAATCCAGTATCACATAATATCATTCAAAATTACGTAGCTACCAATAAATCCTCCCTCACTTGTCCACAAAGAGGGCTTTACTGCTGTCAGTGGAAATAACCTTATAATATGTCATAGCTAAGATACTTCAATGCAGTCAATAATTCCGCATGTTGGATTAGTTAAAGCACAGAAGCAAGGAAACTGAAATAGGTTGCAGTTGCATCATCAATCCGGCTGAAACTACAAATAGTTCCAAACTGGCATCTAAAAACTGACTAACTGCTGAATATCAAACATCGGTACTGGAATAGTAAGGCAACACCGCCTCAGTAGCGGTCAAAAGATGGAGGACGACCTCCTCCCCTCCTTGGTCGGTCATAAGGAGCAGGCCTGTCTCTATAGCTTCCCCTGTCATGGCGGGCCGGCCCTCCACTTCCATATGTATCACCAGCAGCTCTTAGGTCTCCATCCCTACTATAACCTCTATCCTTGCCATACCCATTCTGAGGTCCCCGATCCATATACCTATCACCTGCAAACCGATCACCACCCAGTGGATACCTGTTGTCAGCATATCGATCACGACTCCCATAGCGGCTGTCCCTGCTATCCATGCGCTCCCTGTCTCCAAAACGTCCCCCATCATACCGATCGTCAAAACGGTCCACTCTAGGGCGATCACCATGGACAGCACTTCCACCAAACCTAGACTGCGAAGAGAATCGGCCACCACCACCACCACCTGAAGGACATTCTCGGGCAAAGTGCCCAGGTCGGCCACACTTGAAGCAGTCAGATCGCCCTACTGTCTTGTCCCCTCCTCTGTAACTGTCCCTGCCACCTGACACATGTTCCCGGTCATAGCCATAGCCAGGATCTTCACCATCCAGTTTTGGTTGTGCCTTATTCACTGAGATGACTCGCCCATCCAACTCCCGGCCATGCATCTCCCTGATTGCATCTTCCATACCCCGCCGATCTGCAAATGTTATAAATCCAAACCCACGAGGGCGGCCAGTATCTCTTTCCATCATGACCTACAAAATCACCAATTGTAAGTCTATGCAAATAAGAACAAAGGGTAACCTGCCTCACGTCGAGTACCACATCAGTAGTAGAACAATTCAGTCCAAGTGTAACAAAGAGTTCGTTCTTTGTAACAGGCAAAATTACATATAAACCCTACTTAAGTGTCAACTTCCAAGATTAATCCATGTCTAACATCCAAGCTTTCCGCAAAGGACATGCATATATTTAAAAGGGCAATGGAATTTTGAGATGATGGAGAAGTACTACAGTAATATGAAACAAGGCGACAATAATGCTTATCGGAGTGATGCAATATGCCATTTAACTAGAACACATAGGTTATGCTCCAACTCCGCCTACACTAAAATTCCAATCAAAGAAAGCTGCAGCACTGTCACAAATATCTATAACTTGGCATTCTTGAAGCACCAAATATATCACTGGATTTTACAATGCTGACCATTACTTATGGGAATATAAACTTCAATTGACTTTATCCAACTTAATTTGTCAATGACAACTACCCACAAAGGCATTCTTATGTTTTTTCCTCAGAGCAGTTACTTTCACGCATGTGCGATGCCAGAGAAAAAAAAAACAAAAAAGGTAAACTACAGATCCTCATAAAATAATCAAAGAAATACCAGTACTCTCTTCTTAGATCTCAATTTAACTTATATGTTTATTCCCACGAAGTCGCATGTATTTAGGTGGAAAAAAATGGTTGCTACATTTAAGTCTTCGTGAATGATAATTTACCATGTTTTGGAACAATCATACCAATACACAATTCATTACGGAATTAGCATTTTCTATAACTGTATGCAGAACACTAGGAAATCTGACTCTTAAAAGGTGTGCAAAATCTGCGTCCACAGTAGGAAAGCTAAGTGCCTAGCAAAGTAGTTATAATATCGCACTGAAAACATCTATCTAAGCAAATCCTCTACATACTGCTTGCCTCAAAGTTCAAGTTAACAACACTTTTCATGTTTTTCATGTCAAGTTCAAACATCTTTATCCTTTGCAGACAAAGAAGATAAAAGGAAAGAATAAACTTTACTTCTGGATCACTGGATCTTATATCTATGCATGTTGTATATCCAATGAACGTCAAATTCTGAAAACTTGATGGTTTTAGAAAATGCTGGAGTGAAAATGATTTTTCTTTTCTATTTTTCCCCAAAGGCCATGAAGGTGTTTGCATGGTTTGCTCCAGTGTTATTTAAGGCGTAAAGCGAACCGAAGCGACCAAGGCTCCTAACGCCTAGGCGAGAAGCGAGAAGCGAAACGACACGCTTTACCGAAGCAAAGCGAACAGTTAAAAAAAATATATATTTTAGTTTAATTACTTCTAAACAATCTAAGTTCTAATTTTATATATACTAAATATTTAAATGCAAGTAAAACCATAAACATTTAAATTAAAACAAACACTAATAATATCTCAAATCTTAATAACAGTTATAATTTAAACATTTAAATTCAAACAAATACTAACAATTGTATACATTTTCATATTGACAGGGTAGGACAACAAAAGAAGCAGAATCAGGACAACAGCAGAATTAGCAACAAAAAAAAAAGAAGCAGAATGAGGACAAAAAAAAACAAAAGCAACACAGGACAGCAAAACCGAAGCAGCAACAGAATCAACAAAAAAAAATAGAAGCAGAATGAGCTAAAAAAAAAACAGAAGCACAATGATCATGACAGGAGCAAAATCAATTGTAAACAATTTCATATGTAATTATATACTGAATAAAAAAAAGCAGAACAGAGGCACATTTCACATGTACTAAAATAATTAAACATGGTATAAGCATAGACCATTTTTTGGTACCATTTGTATATATATAAGAAAAGGGAAAAGTATAACCAAGACATATCAGAGACACTTCTTTGTAGAAGAATCTATTATTTACCCCTATTTCTGATACTCCTGCTTCCTTTTTTTATCATAATTGTCATGCAGTGCAGTCGCCTGACTCCCACATCCCACAAATATTCTAAATGAATTCAGCAACACAAGAAAAAAAAAGGAATGTGTTTTGTTCGAAACATTGTTTATTAGAAAAAAAAATAGACTAGCAATAGTCTAAAAAAAAAGTCATTAGTGATTAAAAAATAAAAGAGACTACTAACCTGTAATCAGAAAAAAAAAAAAAAAAAAAAAGTGAAGCAGAATCGCTTTTTATAATAAAGCGTTCGCTTTTTCGCTTTTTCTCGCTTCGCCTGGGGTCCTGCAGGCGAGATAAACTCGCCTCGCCTCGCCTCGCTTCTCGCCTAGGCGAGCTTTTCAAAACACTGGTTTGCTCTCCATATATAATGCCATTTTCCAGCTGTATAATGGTCCTATTGTTCAATGATTTTATGGAAGACTTAGATACTCATTCATCCATCCTAAAATTGAAACCACAAGCCACCTAAAACAGAAACAACCACCCTAAAATGACAAAATTTTGAAAATGGAGAAAAAATGAGTAATGCAAGGGGCATGCCAACTGAATGTATGGCAGACTGATATCAGTAAGAGCTCTTACCAGCAAATGGCAAAATGTCACAACTCTGTCAGCTCCTATAACTAAACCATAATCTCTGACCTTATTTACCCCTCCAACTCGAGCATATCAACGACAGTTGTGACTGGTATATCACCAAATAAGGCCAACCAAACAGGTTTATCCCATTCCTCATAATTTACAAAAACAGATCTCCATATGGCAAACAGCAGCACCTAAAACATTAGATGTGTTGCCTCCAATTTGACTCTAAATCCAAGGAACACGCAATCCCAAACATACCATGCAGCCAACTGGGATCCATATTGCAGCTCAAAGCAATACATATCATCATGGAGATCTGTTTATTCAAACTAATCTCCCAGTAAAGGGACTTCAGCTTGATAGGAAGAAAACTACACATTTCTCATACATAAAGACCACAAACAGCATAAACATTTCTCAGAAAGTGATTGGTATCTCATTAACAACTCTTCTATTTGCGTCAGCCACAAGAATCAGCTGGAATACCTTCGCATAGTCATCGGTGTTTGCTCATGTATACAAGAATGATGCCAAGAAACCTTCCACTTAATGAACTTCAATTCACTAGCACCCTTACAGGTGAATCCAAATATCCACCGAAAGTATGTCAGCAACTCAGAAGTTCCAGTTTATCGACCAAACAGGACATGGACGAAAAGTAAATATATTAATAAGTTCTACAGGTTTGGAATCTAGGGTTCTCAAACCACTCAATCAAACTTCTTGAGTTCCAAAACTCAAATGTCAGATAGATCAAATCTCAATAAGAGCAGAAAAGCAGCAAGACCTATCGAACCAAGAAAATTGTAAGATGCCACTTTAAACTGCAATCCTATTATTAATGTACTGAACAAAACTCCCTTCCCTGAAAGTTCTCTTCTGTACCAGAATAAACTGGATGCTTGGAGTCACGCGGGTGTTTTTAGTGCAAATAATACACTCCACAAGCTAAACATATAGATTCCACAACTAAGATAATTCAAATAGACTATACATGAGCTGCCAACCGACTGAAAGAAAAAAGGAGCTATTTGTTAAAGTGAGCTGAATTATAAACCACTTAGATGTAGGATACAAAAAAGTGACCACAGAATACTTTGTGATATCATAATCAATCATCTCCTTCGTCATTATTATTGTAGGGATACGTGATCTGCTCGTCCTAATTATCAGAATCACTGGAATCATCAGCATACGGGTAGCATCCATCGGCCCGAAACCTCTCAACTAGTACACAAAAGGTTGCAATAAGCATGAGACCGGAGAGGCAAATACCTCGGACTATCAGAAAGAAGCTGGTATAGCAGAGGCAACTTACATATATAATTCGTTGCAAAATACAAAGCTCCAATTTTGCTCCCCTAGTTTCTCAAGCAGATATACAGTCACTAGAATTTCAAAGTAATGCATCCAATCTTCCTTTTAGACTATGTAAACTGGTGAAAAAAGTTGAGTTCTCTTGCAGGAAACATTGTGCATCTTTTACCCATACTCTTCCAATGGACTCAACTAACACCAGGCATACGAGTTCCCAGCCACTCAATTCACAAGACACTGGTTGAAACACATCAAATAAAACATAGTTCTTTGTTCACTTGTGTACGTCACCGATATATTGCTGCTGTGATTCATGCATCCCAGTAAAATTGAACATCAAAACCCTACTAGCGAGACGAAATAGACAACCTTTAAGCTGACACACAATGATACAGGTTAAGACCAAATAAATCAAGGCCTTTTCCTTCTCCAGAGAGATCAAAACGTCCAAATATGACAAATTAAAAACTGGTTCTCACAACAAAGAGCAACTTTGCAGGGCATGTCGCATCGTATGACCATGACTAATCAGCTCATAGCTCACAACCAGCAGTACTAAAAGAAATACGGAATCCTATGGGCCCTCAAAGCGTAACTCGCATGGCAAACATCCCCTGCAACAGATAGTTGATGGCAGACAACCAGATATGAACTATTGCAGCGGTCTGCTGAACTGCCGAAACAAGTCTACATGTCAGCTGCTGAGAGGAGACATATATAAATGTGGCAAATAAACAAAATACCAAGCTTTTGTAGCAGTCTGCAAACTGGGGGACATTTCTCCATGCTAGCGGTAGTATAACTATTCCCAGGTTAAAAGTCTCATAACAACACATCTTAACCAATTTATTATCACATACAGAAGATCAAATTTCACTGACTTGGTCCAGTACATATGACCACCAGTTTCTTATATAAACCCATCAAACCAAAAGGCCATACCCCACATTGGCACAAATGAACATCACTGAAGATGAAGATGAAGAAGAAGAAAATTAATAGATGAATTATGAGGAAAACCCACACAGGAAATTAATGACATGAGCCACCTAACATGTGAAACAAATCTTCAATTTTAGTAAGCAAAATTATGAAACAACCATTGTAAACTAGTCAATAAGTTCCACAAAAACTTTACAGAGATACAAAAGAGACTGCTGCTTTCATCTTCCTTGGTACATAATAGGAGATAATAAAAAATGGCAGCCCAATGCACAAAACTCCTGTTATTGCGAAGTCTGGGGAGGGTCAAAGATACACATAGTCCTACCCCTAGAAATGCATAATATCAATGCTTTCTACACAGTTAAAAAGAATGTTAATTACAATTTGAAAATTCAACCTTAAAATGAATAGGAAACTCAAATTTCATATCACAGTGTGGACCAAGATGTAGTAATCTTCTCCAAGACCTTGATATTTAGATTTAGTTCTGTTAAGAAATTAAATGTAATGTAACCAGAATGAAGCATTGCAAAAAGATGTATTACATATTCTTGACCACCAAATACATAAGATAGATATTCCAAATAAGAGAACAACGAAACCACTCAAAATCACTGTGAGATAAACAATTTTAAACTAAAACTAGTCACTAGACCTTTTCCCCTCTTTCTATGACTCTTCTACCCTCTTTTTTATGCTTTCACCCAGGCTTTTCATTCTACTTATAGAATGAAGCACAAGTCTAACCTTTTGACTAATAACCTCAACCGTTGTGAATTTGAATTGGAAGACAACCATGTTGTTATGAATTGAAGTAAACAACTACATTACAACAATTATAATCCACTAAATCTACGTCTCAAATATCAGTACATTATAGCTATCACAATGTACTCAAAAAGGAGCAAAAAAATCATACCAGAGACTCCAGAATCTTGCCGTACCGACTGAAAGCATCTTCGAGGTGTCTCTCAGAGGTGTTCCACCCTAATCCTCCCACGAATATCCGGTTCTGCTCCCTTCCAGCCATCCTTCAGACAAACCCTAATTTTCACAGTCAGAAGAAAAATTGTAAAATAAACAACAATCAAATCAAATAAACCTACAAATTAGAAACTGCATCGAATTTCTTACGGCTCTATCTCTCTCTCTTTATTCAGAGTACAAACGAGAATTGTTGAAATCGATTAGAATCGAAAAGATGAAAGAATAAACCCTAGCTTACCTTGAAAACGCGGAAAAAGACGAAAATATATTAGATTTCTGGAGTCGGTTTTGTACGAGGCTTTCTTTCCATGGAACAGTTAAAATCTAGGGAAAATAATAAGGGCTAATGTAAACTTATACCTAAAACATCATTTAAATTTCAATTTGTATTTTTAAAGTTAAAAAATATTAATTTATACTCTAAAAAAAATAAATACATACACACCTAAGATTTAACTATCATGTATTTTGCGATTAAAAAAGTTTAGATTAATTATATATTATACCCCTCAAAATTTAAATATTTGACATTTAATAGTGCTCGTTAAGTAGTTCTCAATTGTATTATATCATAACATTTTCGTGTCGTATTCGAATCAATAAAAAAATATTTTTGTGTCGAGTCAATTGCGATGTCTTATATTTCACATTTGCAACAATTCATATGATATTGTTTAATATTTTTTAAAAATTTAAAAATTCTAATTTTGTATCTATAATATTTGTTAAATAACTATTTTTTGTCTGTATTCGTATATAACTTTAATTTGATCGGATAATCAAAAGATTTGTGTCTAACTATAAACAGAAAATAGTTATTTAACGAGTATTGTAGGCAAAAAATATATATTTTATAATTTTTTTATAATTTAAAAAAATATTTTTTATTGACTCGAACAAGACACGAAGATGTTATAATACAATACAATTGAGAGCTATTTAACTAGCATTAATAGATGTAATTTTTTTTAGATTATAAATATGAAATATTTAAACTTGGAGAATATAATTTAGAATTAATCCAAATTTTTTTAATAGAAAAATGAATAGAGTTAGCTCAGGTTCACATTGATATGAATTTATATTTTTCAGTGTGTAAATTGATATTTTTAAATTTCAAGGACATAAATTAAAATTTGAGTGATCTTTCAAGCTTCAAGTTGAGATTAACCCAAATAATAATGAAATTTCATTATCTCTTTTATCTTCGTTATTATTATAATTTTAGATTGTAACCTTCATGTTTTGAAAATTACATGTCATGTCCATTATTGCAGAAAAATATTTATTGCAATGGAGATAAATATCATGATTAACACACAACACTCTATCCAACAGTAACACGACATGCGCACTGTTAGGGCTATCAGTTTTTGACACGTCACGCTAACACGATACAATTAATGGGTTAAAATAAGTCAACATGCCTAAACATGAAAAAAGTCATGTAGGGTTCATGTCAAAATCAAGTCAACTTGATTTTGACCTAATTAATCTGTATATTTTAAATGGATTGACATGATTTAGAAACGAACATGATCTAACTCATTGTAAACCCGTTTATGACAGTATAATTTGCCTAATATATATGAATGATGTGGTTTTAACATTTATATAATAAAACACATAGAAAGTTGGATTTTATCCCCCTAAAAAACATTACATCACTCAATTTTATTACATGTTTAATTATTTAATATTTGATTAATTTATAGTTTAACTCAATTTTTATTTCATTTTTTATCCATACATGATAGTATACACATGTTGAGAAAATTTTACCCGATTATATATTTTGAGAAAATTTTTGCTATTTTTAAGAAAATAATAGGTAGAAATTAATTTTAAATAGAATCAATTTTTTAGGTAGAAAATACAAAGTTAGCTATTTGGTATAATAAAATGAAAATTTTGAACTTCAAATCTTATTTTGGATTGTGCCTTTAGGCACGGGGTATGATTAGTTATTATTTATTAGTTTTTGCTTCTATTATGATAATTGACAGTATAGTTCTTAACATTATAATGACAATATACTAGTATAGTTCTTGCTTTAATTTTTGGGTTAAAACTTGAATTCATTTTAGGTAATTTCATAGATGAGATGTAATATGTTATTTGTAAAAAAATTACTTTAAATTTTGGATAAATGATTGAATGATGTATTTAATGGTAATAAACTGATGTGGAAACATGTTATGTGTGTTAAATAGGTATGTGTTATGTGTGTTAAACAAGTTAAACATATCAT